ATCAGAGGCTGCACACTGTGGGTGAAAATAGACTTCATAAAATTAGTTCATCCAAGTCACTAAATAGATAAACATAGACTATGAAATTAGTTCAGCCAAGACATGAAACAAATGAACAATTGACCAAACAGTAATGTCAACATTGAGCCTTAGAGGGAGGAGGAAGAATTATTATCTAAATTTGCTGCAATTAATCATCTAAAATGCTTGGTTCTCAACAAAATATTAAGAAAGTTACAAAAAAGAGGAAAGTATGAACCATTTATAGAGGGGTGGGGAGAAGCCGGCAACAGAAACTGCCTTTGAGGGTGGTCCAGATGTTGCAAACAAGGACTTCAAAGCAGGTGTTATAAGCATGTTTCAAGTACCATGTTTAAATAATTAAAATAAGGTATAGTAACAATGACTCAGCAAGTATAGAATATCAATATGAAGACAGAAATTATTTTGATTAAAAAAAATAAATTGAAATTCTAGAATTAAAAAGTTAATTATTGAAATGAAAAACCCACTAGATTCTCAGCTCTAAATTTGAGTTGGTTAAAGAAGAAATAATCACACTGAGAGATTGATCAATAGAGATTATGCAATCTTAAGAAGAAAAGGCATGGAGAAAATTAGCAAAGCCTCCGAAGAATGCAGGATGCCATTAAGTGAATCAACATATGTATAATGACAACACCAAACAGAACAGAGAGAGACAGAAGTAAGATTGGAAGAGGCAATGGTTGAAAACTTCCCAAATGTTAGGAAAAACATCCATCTAGACACCCAAAGAGCTCAAAAAGATCCAACTACACAGGCAAAGAGAGCCACACCTGGACATCTCATTGTCAAAATATAGGAAGTCAAATAGAAAGAGAAAATTTTGAAAAATAAAATAAAATAAAAGACTCATTGCATAAAAAGGAACCACAATAAAGATGAATAACTGACTTCTTATCTGAAACAATGGAGACCAAAAGACAATGGCATAGTGTATTCAACATGCTGAAGGAAAAAGCAACTGTTGAGAGCCACAGC